TCTGCCATATTATTTGATTGAAGATGCACACATTTACAATAGAAAGAAAAAACAAGCCATGGCTAAATTATAACGAGCAGCCTCGAGATAGCTCCGCTGTTAGCAATGCACATTTCAATTTAAGAATTGAAGATATCATCACAAAATAAACAAATCTAAGAGAGTCCACCTGAGGTGCCTATATATATAATATCTGCTACCTTATTATAATTAAATTAAATATTTACCTGTACTATTCAGGGCTGTACTACATATTATTCTGACTAAAGAAACAATCTGCCTGCATTAAATCATATATGTATCTAATAAGTTCTTTAAGTTTCACTCTGAAAGCTGCATTCATAAAGATTTATTGGAGTATTGCGACTATTATTTAAAATATTTGATATTCTGAATTTGCATAAATAATGGGAATTATGCTTTACAGTATGTCTGACTACTGACGATTGTTTCAGTATCTCAGTTGAATGTAATTTTGAATTTCCTCTGCTGAAGCTTTTGAGTAGTGTTCCAATGCACATGGATTGACAAAGATTCAATCATAATATGCAACTGTGACATGTGATAATAATGATAGGCATATTTCAATAGCAAACAAATATATCAACAAATAAATCAATCAAAATTGTTTTATATTATTATTTCAGACTGAACCACCCTGTATCTTTTATTCGCATTCGTTTTTATTCAAAGCTAAATTGGGGTGATATACTCCATGCAAAAATAGTTGGTTCGCCAGAAGTGTTTTGAATTATAACTGGTTTGATTGGAATGAAGTTATTACCATTCTGATATACTTTGAAATACATTTCATTTTTAGTCAAACAAATTTAACAGTGTGTCAATATCACCATTGTCAGAATGGAGGGAAAAAACAGTACATGGAGTTCGATCGTTCAATTTATGAACTGACTGAGTTAAGCTCAGTGAAGATATTATATGAGGTTATTACGAGAATACCTCCAAGTATGCACGAAGACAGCAGAGCTGGAATATCGATCGACACGCAGCAGAGGTCGATGAGCGGCATACTGTCTGAGTGCATACTTTGAGGTATTCTCGTAATAATCTTATTATTATACATCTTTTCCTTCCAAGGATACATCATGGGAATGCCGAAATCCAAAAAGTTCACAAACAGAATCAGCGAACTTCTTTGTGTGGAGTCCGGTCAAACCCTGCTGGCAGCCATCTTTGTTTTTATTATTAGAGAACGCTTACACGCGTAATCATTCATATTTGGAATTTGCATTTCTTTATATGGTAGGATGAAAATACCCCGTAAAATACCACAAAACTACGACACACTGTAACGTATGGCGTTACGGTGACAGATGTATAATAATTGTCATTATTAGATACTGTCATTATTAGATACATTATATAGGAGATATATTTTTTTTTAAATGCAGGTCCTCACGCCTATTATCACCAATTTTTCATCACTGGAGCGACTTACATTCTGATTTTTGGTTCTCCTGGCAATAAATAACCTATCTAGCTGGACTGAATTCATGTTCTTATCAAAAATTCATATACGTTTGGATGACCTGCAATAATCTTCCTGTTTCTGTGTGTCTTAAAATTATAGCATTTTTCGCCAAATAGCGTAAACATGCACACTCATTCAGGGGTTTTCTAGAAACATTTTTAAGGGATAGCACACCTTTGTTACCATTGGTAACCCTCTATATTTGTTATAACTGATCATAATTTACTGACTGTTCCAGGTTCTGTAAGAGGGCGCAAGCCTGGGTTATGAGGGTGCTGCACCACTGTTCCCCTGTCTAGAAGAACCCCTGTCATGAACTTATTTGAGCTTGAGACACATTTCAGTGGAGTTTAAATAATTATTAACTAGAATAGATTCAAATATTATGGAAACACCAGTGCCATCGCTCACTGATGGGTCAAACGTCCTGGAAAAGCAGTATTTATATAGAATGCATTACTAGGTAATACGTCTGCACTTCAAATGTGATTTGAGATTTGCTAAAAATTTTGAAATGATGGATGACACTGCCATGACAATGTCATTTATCATTCCATCATTAAGGCTTACAAAAAGACGAAGCAAAATATTGACAAGTCGTCACCCCCCCTCCTGTCACTGGGAGTCCATGACCATGTGTCAGGATTCAGACTTCGGGCAGGCAATAGGGTTACTGGGATCGTCTGTCCGTATTATCCTAGCCCGACATAGCCCCGTGTACATGTCTGTTGTTCTAAGCCCGACACTGAGTCCATAGGAATTCCTATGTATTCGCTTACAGTGTACACGGCGATTCATGTAGACCGGGCTCACTGGGTCGATGAGAAACCATGATGATGGTCGTATGAAATGGATTTATAATCGAACACTGCCTCACCTCAAAATCCTTGAAAGACATTATGGATGTTTCAAATAACGATTACTTTCCGCTACCCAGGCATTGACACAGTACTGGACACACCTTCCTCCAATTCAATCTGCGACCTATGTTTTTAACTAAAACCAGAAGTATCTAACAGACTGATTTTTTCCTGACTCCCGGCATGCAGAGCGCATAATATACGGATATACCATTTGGTA